GACGGGGTTCCATTCCAACAACTCTGTCGTGAGTCGGTTCTGACGTAAGTCGAGCACCTCATTTTTTTCTTTTTTAGTTTTCATTATTATTGCCTTTTATTATCAGTGTCTTTATAAATACACCAGTGATTTGAACAGTAAATCATAAATTGAACATCTGCGAGTGAACATGTGAGAATGATAACATCAGCAAATTATGCACTGCAACACTGTATGTAGTACATATTACTAAAGATAAGGACAGCCATAAATTCAGTTCATCATAACTTGAATACATCGTAAGTCAGGCACTACCTGTACTGGACTTCTTCTTTTTTTTTTTTTTATTGTTGTGCTTTAAGTGAAAGTTTACAATTCAGATTAGTCTCTCATACAAAAATTTATACATACATTGTTATGTGACCCTAGTTGCTCTCCCTATACTGTAACAGCACACTCCTTTCTGCCCCAGATTTCCGGTGTCCATTCAACCAGCTCCTGACCCTCTTTGCCTTCCCATCTCGCCTCTGGACAGGAGCTGCCTATTTAGTCTCATGTAGCTACTTGAGCTAGGAAGCACATTTTTCACAAGTATCATTTTATATCCCATTGTCCAGCCCAATCTTTGTCTGAAGAGTGGGCCTCATGAATGGTTTCAGTTCTGGGCTAACAGAGAGTCCGGGAGCCATGTCTTCCAGGGTCCCTCCAGTCTCAAACAAACCACCAAGTCTGGTCTTTTTACTATAACTTGAGTTCTGCACCCCACTTTTCTCCCACTCCATCACGGACTCTCTGTTGTGTTCCTTGTCAGGGAGGTCATTGGTCATAGCCGGGCACTATCTAGTTCTTCTGGTCTCAAGTTGATGAAGTCGCTGGTTTAGGTGGCCCTTTCTGTCTCTTGGGCTAATATCTTCCTTGTCACTTTCTTAAAGTGACCCGTTGCCATCAAGTCAATTCCAATTCATAGCAACCCTATACAACAGAGAAGAACTGCTCCATAGGGTTTCCAAGACTGTAATCTTTCTCCTACTGAGCGGCTGGTGGGTTCTAACTGCCAACTTTTTAGTTAGCAGCCAAGCATTGAACCACTGTGCCACCAGGGCTCCTTTTTCTTAAAGCAAAGACATATATATAGATCAGATTACTTTTATGGAAACTCTTAATTCATCAGTTAAGATATAATAACATATCTTGAACAAGGAAATTGCCCATAGAAAAGGGACTAAAATCTAACGTGCTGACACAACAAAATAAACTACTTCCATAAGCATATCTAAAAGTTCTCAGTTTATTCAGCAGGTAGTGTTTATATTTTCTGGCACATCCACTAACATTCACTCTGTGTAATGCACAATGCATATGGAGTGCATTTTTAGAGTAATGGAATATATTGGCGACAGAAGATAATTTTCAGCACAAACTGGAGCCAAAGGACAGACTGGTCTTTAATTGCTGAGAACTGCTGTCTTTCACAGCAGAGTGGGTGTGGCAGCACTGTTCCTCCACCCTGAGCTTCAAGAGCTGGCTTTGTCATTAGAGCTAATTAATTGCTGCTAGTAAAGCGGAAAATTATATGTTCCGATCATTGTCACGTGGAACATGGGATGGGGCAAATTTGCTTCTTGGAATGAATATTCATATAACACCTTTAATGAAACTAGTCCTTTGGGGGTAGTTTTTTCTGTATTTCTAATTTGTGTTCCAAATGTAGAGCCATGGCTACTTCTTTCTTCCTACTCTCAGCTATTAGATGAGGCATGAGTAAATGGGGAAAATGTAAATGAAGACTCATCTGATAATTCATGTTTAAGGAACTCTGTCCACATTCATAGGGTTGTTCCCTTCCAAATTATGTTTTCCCAATATCCCAATAAGTCCTTTTAGTGGCATCAAAAAGCCCCATTTTCTGATCAGCAAGACAGGAAATAGTAGCTATTCCGTTAAACTTCTATGCAAGAATCCTTGCTGCAAGAATTGTTCTTGTTCTCTAATAAAACCTTTTCTCCTTCTCTAAGGACAAATTTGACCTCATGTTAACTTTCTAGCTCTGTTACCCTGAAAATCAGTAAAGGTGGAATGTCAGCTGTGTTACTAGACAACGAAGCATGTGATTAAAATGATCCCTGATTAGTAAATTAATTAATTACCTGGTAGGAAGCCATAGATCTAGGCTTTCCTGAGTGTAGGGATTTTTATAACTTAGCATGACCCTCCCAGAGACTCCGGAAGCTATGTCATGAAGTAATTACAAGAGATATTGGCTCCTTGGGGCTTCTAAGCCAAGGCAGATCCACATCCACCAATGTGGATCTTGTCTTCTTCCACCTGAACTTTCACTGTGGGGCTGGAGACTAGCCCCTGGAACTGTTGCAAAGACTCTCACTGAAGAGAAATGTTTGACATCGACCAGCTGGCAAGCTGTGTTGCCTGCCCTATAGCCTTCTACGTGAATCTGAGCCTTGGCCAAGGTAGGGACTGTGAGTCTGAATGCTTAGTTGAAAATCCCCTAGTGGGTGTGGCATCGCTGTTGTTGTTGTGTGCCACTGAGTCAATTTCAACTCCTAAACCAAAAAAACCAAACCTGTTGCTATTGAGTCGATTCTGACTCACAGTGACCCTATAGGATAGAGTAGAACTGCCCCATAGGGTTTCCAAGGAGCGCCTGGTGGAGTTGAACTGCTGACCTTTTGGTTAGTAGCCATAGCTCTTAACTGTCCCATAGGGTTTCCTAGGCTGTAATCTTTGCAGGAGCAGATTGCCAGGTCTTTTCTCCCACGGAACCGCTGGTGGGTTCAAACTGCTGACCTTTTCAGTTAGCAGCTGAGCACTTAACCATTGCACCACCAGGGCTCCTTATGGCATCACTAGCCAGTGTATAATGTATGGATATTTGGTTTTCTGAGAGGTGTTTTCTTAAAGACATGGGGTAGAATGCCAAATGAAAAGAATAAACTGAGTCTCCCTTTAAAATAAACATAAATGATCTAATGCTAAGAGAAAACAACTTATATTCAGGTAACTACACTGACTGAAAAACTGCAGCCATGTAAAAATGATAAACATGGCTAAGGTTTGGGACGAAATAGAAAATATTCGCTTTTTTTTTTGTTAAATGCAGAATGGGATTCAGGTGACAGTCTTTTAAAAAATTATTCAGTATTTTATTATAATATGGTTTGTGCAATACATTAAAAATTTAGAAAATAAGTGGAAGATCCTTTGGATGTGATCATACCCAGCTCAGCCTAATGTTCCCTTCTCCCTGAGCACTCCCACTACTTTCATCCTCTTTACTTAACCATCAAAAATAATGAAAACAGTAATCATAGCAGAAGGAGGTGGTGGAGATTAAAAAAATAAAAAGGTGTATGAGGATGGTGGGAGTGGAGTGAGGGGATATCTTTTTTTTGCTGTTGTTAGTACACGTTTCTTTTTTTTTTTTTTAATTGTACCTTATGTGAAGGTTTACAGAGCAAATATTTTCTCATTAAACAGTCAGTACACGTATTGTTTTATGACATTGGTTAACAACCCCACGACAACATGTCAACACACTCCCTTCTCGGCCTTGGAGGACCTTTTTTTTTTGTTTTTTTTTTGGGGGGGGGGGAATATATACATAGCCAAGCCAAAGATACACCGTTTCAAAAATTTCTACTTGTACAATTCAGTTACATTGATTACGTTCTTCCGGTTGTGCTGCTATTCTCACTTCAGATGAAGGTTTACAGAACGAAATAGTTTCTCATGAAACAGTGAGTACACATATTAACCCTACGACAATGGTTAAGAACCTCACTGCATGTCAACACTGTCCTTACTCAACGTTGGGTTCCCTATCTCCAGCTTTCCTATCCCCTTCTGCCTTTTAGTGCTTGTCCCTGGACTGCTGTTCCTCATTAGTCCCATTTTGTTTTATGGGGCTGTCCAATCCCCAGCTGAACGGGGAACCTCGG